GCCTGCTGCCCAATGAACGATGAGGCAGGTTTCTGGTCCCTCCAATTCCGGTGCTTCGATGCATTTTAATGAGGAACCTTTTGATCAACGCTTTGAAATTGCTGAAGAGCTCGGGAAGTGCGATTTTATTTTTATCTTTTTAAGGCTGCTTTTTCGAGATCTTGAGTTTAATTCTAATTATTATTCGATTTGATGAAATACAAATTTATTTTTTTCTATCTCCCATATCCTTGCTCTCTCAAAAGTTGTTTGTCGCAAATTTACACAGCTTCGTACCTATACCGTCAACTCTTCCACAATCTAATAACATATTTTTTCTTAGTGGACAGTTTGCTTGCGTTCGAAGGGTAATAGACCGCAATAGTGGTATTCAGTATGCCGCTAAATTCATCAAGAAGCGCCGATATGCAACATCGCGTCGGGGTGTTACTCGTGCCAATATAGAGCGTGAGGTTGATGTATTACGCACAGTTGGAGGGCATGATAACACTGTTCAGCTGTTTGAAGTTTATGAATCGTTAACAGATGTTATTCTTGTTTTGGAACTGTGAGTTTAACGCATTTTATTTGAGCTGCTGCTTAAACTTGGCAGGTGGCATTATAAACCTTGCACAAATTTTTTGATCACTTTATGATTGCTTTTTAAGTTTATTTTCATAGCTTAGAACTGTTATCAATTTTTTTTTGAAACTTGCTTTAGTTAACCTTTAAATTTCAAGTGTTCCTGGTGGTGAGCTGTTTGATCATGTTAGTTCAAAAGAATGCCTTGACGAACCTGAAGCTGCTGCTTTCATTCGTCAGATATTGAACGGCGTTAAACATCTTCATGAGCGGCATATCGCTCACCTTGATATAAAGGTTCTTTATCATCGTTTTTTAAATGTCTTAGTTCTTTCAATAAGATCTTTAGTGAATTGCTTAAGAATGTATGGAAAACAGATTATTCTTACAGCCGGAAAACATTATGCTCCAGAAGAAAGGAGAGACAAAAGTCAAACTAATTGACTTTGGGTTGTCAAGACGGATTTTACCAGGGACAGTAGTTAAGGATATGATAGGCACTCCAGAATTTGTTGGTTGGTTTAGTTCTTTAATGAAGCATTGTTTGAAATCGTTGATTACTTCTCCGGATGAAATATCAAATTTACAGCTCCTGAAGTAGTGAATTATGAGCCACTTTCTACTGCAACTGATATGTGGGCAGTTGGTGTTGTCGCTTTCATCTTGTAAGTTCTGATTTGGTTACTAGATGAAGGTTCGGTTATATGTATTGCGATAGTGCTGGAAAGTCTGTTCATTGTTCAGTCTTATTATTTATATCCTAAGTGAGAGAAACAGAAGTGTTAAGTAGACCACTAGTCATTCACTTTGACAAGAGGAATTGTATTTTAATACAGATATTTTTTGAGAGAATATGTTTATTTGCCATTTGTAAAACGCTTTATGATTAGCGATATTCTGAGCCAGAAATTGGGCGGAGGAAATCATTGGGTAACAAGCAGTCTGAAACTCTCTAAACCGTACGAGGAAATCTAATATATCTCTATATTTTTTTTTACATTGGCTTGTAAATTTTGGCTAAATAATATATCATTCAATCAAATTCAGGTTAAGCGGAGGGTCACCTTTTCTAGGTGATACACGTGAAGAGACTTTTGTAAATATTTCTGCTGTGAACTATCATTTCAACGAGAGGTATTTTGATCATATTTCCGCTAATGCTAAAGATTTTATTTCTCGGCTCTTTGTTCGGGACGTAAGGAAACGGGCTACAGTAGATGACTGTTTGAGACATCCATGGATACGAATTGTGGGTTTTTCTGATGTAGATGTAGAATGCGTCTTTAAATGCATTTTTGGGCTGTTTCTTGCGCTATGCTATTGTTTTAGATAATTACTTCTGTTTCTGCGGGTTGTAGTGAGATGTTTTTTGATCTCCAGTGTATGATTTGAATTTTTAGCCTGAAGAAAGTGGGCCTTGGAATATTAAAGAACTTGCGGGTTTATCCTTAGCTGAAACGCGGTCTTATAAAATACGGTTAAAATGGAAGGTAAGTAGTTGGTTGAACGTGTCTACTATAAATCATTGCTGCATGTGTTATTGACAGCACCATAACGTAGTTCCGAAATCAGGTTTCATTAATTACGTGCCTGTAATTTACATGAAGTCTTTTATTTTAAATAGATAGGTCTGTTTTTTTTTTTAAACTTTTACTAGACATCTTGTTGCCAAATTCTCTATAGCTTTTCTAAAATAAGACTTTCAGAAAGCAATAGACGTTATTATAGCGTGTAATAAACTAACTTCGAAGACTCGTTTGGCACTTAGGAAAGCATCCGAAAACGGGCGGACTATTGATTCTCGATTTGATCCGGTTAGTTTCATAATCATTGAAAGTATCAGTAGCACGTAAATGTATTAAATTGTTTGGTGTACCTTTATGCTTCTTCTAACTCTATTCTTCAAAGAGGGTAGTCAGTGGTAGGTAGGTTTTGACTAACTTTTTATTCTAGTGGGACGTCAGTTATCTGTTGTTTTATTACTTTTGGTTTCTCGTTCCGATTGCTTGTCATATGGTTTGACTTCTAAATTTGTATTATCTGTACTAACAATTGTTTCTAACGAAAATCTCAATTGCTTTATTCTCATTTAGATTCTTAGAAAAATGTTTTGACTGGAAATTTTCTGATTGGTTTTTTAGGATTGATATGTACTTCGATCTGGTGTATGATTTTGGTGGGATATAGGCCTTACACAAGTACTCATATTTAATGTTAGAATTTTTTGTCGTTGTACAGGATTTTGAAATTTTTTAAAAATTAAGTGGCATCTATCTCATTTTGTCACGCGGGTTCAGGGTATATCACAGTTTTTGTTTAAAAAAGATGAATTTGGAAGTGCGGCAAGACAGCAGTTTGAAGGACCAAAGAAATTTTTATGTTTTGGTGTTAATAAACGACATTTTTACTAATTGACCACCTATGATAATAATATCAAAGTTTTATAAATCTAGGTTTTAGTCTTTTAATAACTGCTTTTCTTATTGAAATTTATTAAAATATACTAGAAAGTATATTTAAAGGAGGACTAAGGGTTGAACTGCAATTTTCAAATTTTTTCTACGGTCATTTAAGAAGACTGTTGGCGTTTTTTTCTTACTAAGTATTGAGGAAAAACTCTAAAACGCTTTTTCGTGATTAACCCTCCTAGTATTCTTGACTATTTTAGAAAATGGGATTTTTCAACAAGAAGTTTTCTTTGTAAGGAATCTATTTTTTGTTCATCTGAGTTGGCTGACTTTGGAACTGGATGGTCTTCCACTTTTTTTTAGTTGTATATTACTTGTGCATTTCTATTAGCTTTTTTTTTTGATTTAGATAGATAGTTTGTGGCAATTTTTCAACGGCAGAAAAATGCGGTTAAGGATAATGTATCAGTCTGGACTCTCAAACTGGATACCCAGACGCTTTAAGTTTGGTTTTTGACCTAGATTTTATGGAAGAGTGGATGATCATGTTCAAAGAGAGCACAGTACTGTGCAAGGTTTACTACTGAAAAAAAAAGCGCGCTTTTGAACCTCTAGCGCAGTTTACTTTGACTTTTCATTTTTTCTCCGACAGGCATTCTGTAGTCTGTTTCACTGTGGCCTGAGATTTGTGAAAAATGTATTTGCAAAAATGTTTCTCAGTACCAACTTACCTTTTGAGAAAAATCGATTAAGTTTTTGATATTTTGTCATCTTGGTTAAAATCTGCGTTCTGAATGAAATTATCGCGGTAGTATGTCTAAAACGGCAAAGTCATGATGTATTGCGAGGTAGGAAAAAGTTTTTTAAGTCGCATTTTTTGTTGTTTGCGAAAATGGTGTTTCAGAGAGAATTGCAACCAGTTGCACTCATTCTATTGAAAAGTGTGCATCGCACCGTTTGCTGGTGTTATTTTCTTTTTGTCTGTTGCTCCTGCTGTTGTGTTGCTGTCTTGCACTGTTGTACCGTTGGTTCTTTCGCTAGCGGCTACAAAAATGTGCTCAGTGGGGCACGTCCTCTTGTCTCTGTGCAGTTTTTCGTCATTCAGTTACTATTAATAACTTTCGTACGCTGGTTTCTCCGCTATTGGTACTGCCTCTGTGAAATACAATATCGTGGATTTCTGATCAGTTATCGTGTTTATCAATTTAGTTTTTCTTGTCTTTGTAGTGTCTTTACGAGTGAAGTATCGTCGAAGATGTCAAACCAGGTGAGCTAGGTTTGATGTTTAAAACATGGTTTTTAGTTATCACGAAAACATGTAAAGTTGGCGATTAGCTAGTGTTCTTTAACTAGTTCTTAACTATTGCTTAAATTTAGTCATCATTCGATACTCGTCAGTCGAAGTCTGTCTTCTGACACTAGCAGCTATTAGGGAGGTAATTTAGCTACAATCAGTGATGTCTTTGGTGTTGAAAAATTTGAAAAAATATTTTTGATTTGCTTTGTCCCGTTGCTGTTTTCTTGTTCAAAATTATTGGTTTGTTTCTACGTGCACTTGACAAAAATAACAGAAATTTTTGCTTTTCTTAAATTACATTTTGGCCAATTGGAACTGTAATCCTCTTCAATAAATTCTTTTAAGTTTACATGTTTGTGGCTTTAACGGTATCAACGTACTCTACTTTCGGTTTTTGGCCAAATTGAACCCCCATTTTACTTTTATAGTTTTTGCCTGTGGTGTCTACAGACAAATTATTAAACACTCAGTGACCAAAGGTGTTTTGAATTATAAAGGGTTTATGTTACTGATTCACATTAATGTTGTTCAAGTTTTTTTCGCCGTCGAAGTACATATTAGTGTAATATTTGCTGAGATCAGATACTACCTAAACTTCACTGCTCAAGTGCTAATAGTAGCATGAATTAAAATTTTTACTTACTAAACGTATATTTAACTCTTAGTGTAAGCGATTTAGAATTTGGTCTGAGTCAAAGAAAAATTTTCTTTAGTGTATACTTTATTTTATTTTATTAATCATCTCTATTGGGTTGAGTTGTATTTGTGAAAAAAATTCAACTTTAAAGTCGTTTTCCAGGAAGAGTTAATTCTTTCCGCAGTATTAATTGCTTGCGAGGAGGGTAATCTAGCTGGTCTGGATCAACTTCTGACCCTTCATAGATTCAACTTAAACGTCGCCAACAGAGTTGGTTACAGTGCTGTACATTTATAACATTGTGTTGTCATATCAGTTTGAGTTCAAACAAGCGGATTTCACTCTTTTCAGTTCTGTTTGAATTGCTTGGTTTTTTGTTGAGTGTTTTACAAAATACGTTTGAAGATGCAAAAAATTTTTTTTATTAGAATTTAATTACCCCAAAGGTTCTCTTATTAGGGTAACTGATTTGTAGATAGTGAGTTTGCGGATGTGAGTATTTCGAAATTAAAGCGAGTTTTTCCATTCAGTTTTTGGGTGAAGAATTTGTATTAAAAAAACTGAGCTATATGGGACCAATTTGCAGTTGGGTGAAACGGCGATGCATGTTAGCGCTGGCGCTGGGCAGTATGAAGTGGTCCGATATCTTCATTTAAAAGGTGCGTCGTCAGGAAGTGTAGACCGGCGTGGAGACACTCCTCTGTTTTGGGCAGCACGACATGGACATGCTCAAGTCGTGCGATACATACTTGAAGAAAAAGCTGATGTGAATTTTGTCAACAAAGTAACCTTTTGAAGAATTTTTCGCTTTCTTTCTGTTGTTATGACATCTACTAATTAAAAACGGTGATAATTTTAAAAATATTAGTACTGCAAGTGCCTGAAATTGTGATGATATTTTTTCAAGCTTGGTCTACCGTTCTATTAAATTTATATAATTGATTGCTGCGGGCAGTTTTCATTTTAGAGCAAGGAAACAGCCCTTCACGTAGCTACGCGGTATGCGCAATTGGAAACAGCATTACTGCTGCTTGAATATGGTGCAGACGTTTCACTGCAAGACGAAGTAATTGGATGAGTGGTTCTCATCACAAACGTTTTTGAACTGTTGAATTTTCGTTGACTTTTTTACGATACTGTTTGTGTATAATGACTAGTCGCTCATATGTTTAGTCGTTTATTCGTTTCGGGTTGTTCATATCAGTGATTATGATTATAAAAACTGGTCTTTTTAGCCTTTTATGGAAAGCTGTTAGACTATCCTAAGAAAGCTATTTAAATGTGTCTTTACACATTTCCTTAACTTTTCTAAATATTTTAGCAGGGTGAAACTGCGTTACATGTTGCTAGTTGGCACGGTTATGGTAAACTGTTAGCCGCGTTGTGCCGATATAGTCCACGTTTTGATGCAAAAAACCAGGTTTCTACTTTTTCGTTTTCTCAGTTCCCTAGTCTGCTGTTCACGATACTTGTGTGATATATCTTGGAGGTGATGTGTTTTTAACGTTGAAATTCATTGCGACTAATACAGATGGTGCTTGGCAAAAAATTTCGAATTTAAATGCTTGTTTATTACACTGAAATTTGTATTTTATTGTAGTTCCAGACGCACTTTTCTGATATAACTTTTTCTTCCGTAATTTCTCTTTTAAGTATATTAATTTAAAATTGCGTGTTGTTTTTCTTATGGCGAAGAAGTTCTTAAACTGAAATTCACAACTTTTTGGGTGACCATGGCCTTGTCTTGCTCAACTTTTATCATTTTAATTTTTATTTATATAGTTCTCGGCAACTTCTGTAGGAACTTTTTTACTTATTTCCGCTTTTGAGTCTGCTCCTGCACAACTAGTTTTTTTTTTTTTTTTTTTTTTTTTTTTTTTTTT